CCAACGGTATCATTTACAGTGCCACCTCACTTGAATGCTACAGCACAGATACCGCAATACCCACCCAAGACCATTTTATATTCCACCTGGGTTGTTGAAGTTGTGTGGGCAGAGGAAAAACACTTTCCCTGAATAATCCATGTGTACGGCGACTTCGGGGATCGAACCCCGGCCGCCTGCGTGGAAGGCCGGAGTGTTAAGCACTCAACCAATCCGCCAATATGTCTTGATTTATATCCCCTACCAGGACCTCTTCCCTTTGCAGATCAATAATAGTATTTAGGGTTTTCCTAAATCATGTATTAACGGATTTCCAAGACTCAAATATCATAAAGGCTACATCATCGTTATATCTAACATCTGTAGAGAGAGGTGCTGGGCACCGTAACTGATAGTTTGGGCATTTTATGTCTCAGAATACCGCTACAACTTAGTCTTTTTAGTGGATTTTGGCCACATTTCAAAGATGGTAAACAAGGGAACAGTATTTTGATAATGAAGGCATAAACGAATAAGCGAAGAATTGGCCTAAAAATGTGAATTTCCAAACTGGATTACTAACGACACAGGTATAACGTTTGGGCGTCAAGTCGCACAAATTTGATATTGAAAATTATTTGGGGAAGAACACATGGGCTCTAAAAGGGAAAACGTTCACTAATTAAGTTCTATTTCCAATATATATTTAACAAAATGTCCTGTTTTTCCCTTTTTGTTGTCTCTTAATTCACCACTTACGTACTTTTAAAATGTATTTATGCGAGGGGCGTCCACGTCATTTTCCTTTTCTCTGTTTGAATTCTAAACCTCTCTTATTTTGTCACGGTCGGAATTCGTTTTATAAACCTTCAAATAAGAGTTCTACATCATAAATTTACTTCGATTCGATGCCAAAAAAAGGAAATAAAATAAAACTGGTGATTAAGTAGTGTGTAGGTTAATCCTTTGTTCTTTGTCTCGTATTTTATTTGTTTCATACAACTGGCAAGTGTCCATGTGTGAAAACTGTCGCTATATCTATTTAATTGTATATCGATGATTGAAGTTATACGCATCAAGCAAACATTCATTTGTTCAGCTCCAACGCCTCTTTAGATCATTAAATCAAATCGACACTTCATGGTTTGTGGTTGCCCGCGATTAACCTACCGGTTATGGCTACTTAGAACTACTAGGAAAGATATAGGTAGCAGTGTACAGTAGAAATGACCCTACTCTGATAAACAAGGCACATGTCGAGGAAATGTAAACACAGCGGATTTACCCTACACAACACATGTATACATGTATATATAATTGTAAACTGCATTACATTTACAATACATATAAAGTACTGAGAAGTGTATAAACCTCTTTTTTCTATATAAGTCACTTGTGTGAAAACCATGGTTACCACATCAAAAATTACCAAAAAATGCCAAAAATTGTTATTTTTGACCCGAAATTTGACCCCCGCAACTAGTTATTGTTTTCCTAAGTTCTGTCTGAAATTAAAGATTACCTACCTGGTTGCAGAAATATCTGGGTCCCAGTAAAGTTGTAAAACTTGATTTTTTGCAATTTTGCGTCGTGTGCTGTTGTCAAAATTTTACCTCCTGTAAAGCTAGTTTTTCATGTGTAGGCACCCTTTCGGATTATGGCCAAAATTTTATTCTTGAACCAAAAAAAATCTTTTGTTTTACAAATGTGAAGCTCACATAGCCCACTTCATCATGCTTATACCAATTTTAGTACAGTTTTATTTTCATAATTGTTTTACATATCATTATACAGGGGTTAGCCATTTAACAAAAATATCACCCATGGCCACAACCCTCTACTGTATACTGCTACCATAACACAAAACCAACCACAAATAAGATTAAAATGTAAAGATGTTGCCTAATTACCGGGAAGAGTAACTTAAAATCGCATGTGGGGACGACAAAATAACTGAACTCCCAATGAGAAATACCACAAAACATAAATTGAATACACATATTTGCTGAACCGCCAGCGAGCGTATGATATCCAGTATTGAAATTTACATACTTATATCTTGAGATATGACATCTAGCGATTAATTTGGGTCATTAGCTAGCTAACTCCACTGATGGTGTATCAGTCCCTAAGGTTGCTGTAACAATGTAAAGATTTATTCTCACAGCTACAATATATCTGTGTACGGCGTAAAGGTCCTCGATACGTTAGGGGTTACATTATTTGCATCCCAGGAATATGTCATAACAACATGGAAGTCACACAGCTAGCTATTTGATCGGTCTCACGTAAAAAAAACACCTGAACAATCGCTGGGCTGATACCTGTACTTAGAAGAAGCTTTTGCCTTGACATATTCCAGGAGTGAGGAGAGCGAAAGTGAGCGTAACAAATCAATGCCTATCATCAGACCACTATCTCGCTGAACTGTGAAGTAAACATAGCAGTAATCTTGCGCCATATCTGAAACATACATCAGCCTACCGAACCTTTTTATATCGCTACATTTTAGGTTTGTGTATACGCAGTCAAATTGTACTACGCTGAAGAAGAAAGAAATGTACATACATATGTATAGCAAAGAACATTTGAGTCTATTATACCCTTTACCAGAGTTTTACAGAAACACCATTTATCAATTTATTTATCACCTTTTTATAACAAGATAAAACCGCACAACGTTAGCAATAATCAAATCTCCTTGGATAGTTTTTTAGCATACCAAAGTACTGTATCTGTGATATGTGCAAGATATTTAAAATAGCAAGTGCAAGTGTGGCTCTATATCTACAACTCTGTAAAAACTCTTTTTCATGACGTCAGCAATCCTACATTGTAACACCTTTCCAGTAAAATTGTACTTGGACCCTTCTTCCTTTTTCCAGGTTCCCCTCCAGCGTTTCATTCACTGTTAGATGTTAGGTACGTTATATGAGAAGCTATCTTGTAGTTAGGTTACCTACAGTATGTATAATATATTAAAGTTCATCTTATTAGGATTTCCTTCTTGGTTAATGTTGGCCGAAAAGATATTAAAAGTAATTAAAAGAAATTAAAAGAAAAAAAAAGTTTTTGCCCAGATACAACCAAGACTCCTTTTATCACATTTCGTCGTCCAATTTAACGTGACTTATGTACAATTTTATTTGCATACCAATTAAATCATCATATATAAATACATATTACCTTAGTTTCCATCTGCTATGTATTAATGTACCTTTAAATATGATATATGTGTATTAATGGTTAAATATTTTGCACTGTTAATTAACATTTAGAGCTTACTATAAATAATTCTATTCATAAATGACCTCATGCCTTGGAAATTGTTTGTGAATTCATATTTATAAGAACATATTTATTATTTGCATTATCGGTACCTCAGGGGTAAGGCTCACTAGTATGGCAGACTATAACAGGAATGAACACGTGCTCTGACTTGGTTAGGTTAAACAGGTCCCTGTGTATGAGTACTTCCGTCTCGCTTTGGACAATTACCCAAAAGGTGATGAATCGGCCAGATAACCCCCAACAACAAGCATGCTATCCTATACTCACATATCAGATATATATTTCTCAATTTTTCAATTTTCAAATACTTAGTAAGTAAATCAAGCAGTCTTTCTTCATTGTACAAGAAATCAACCAAAAGTATTCGAATTAACACTGGGAAGAATAACAAAGTATTAAACACCTGGTTTTCATAAAAATAAAAAAATGATGTGCCCCAATTTACATGAATATGCAAAGTATTACATGACAATTAATTTCATCGCGGTATACCATTGTCTTGTCTTGTTGTAGTGTCTTGTCCTCCTTTCGTATAGGAGCTGTCCAGGGATTAAGATTTAGATACAATATCGAGCGCTGTGGTGCGGCTTAGGGAAGCTAACCCTCCATTGGTTTTCACTGCCGGAAGATTAACTATAAGAGATCGAGTATTTCACTTTGAATCCTCCTTGTGATATGATTGACAGCATCATAAAGTCTTGCATAGGTTCTTGCAGCGTGTTGTATGTAAGACCACGTAATAACTCCATAATCAATGATGAAACGGGTATCTGTTGTAAGGTATTCTTCTCTTTCATCTCCACTACCCAAAACCGAGCACCAGCTAATATTTACCATACGTAATACACACAGCTTTGAATACCAGGAGAGCGTTTCTAGACGTCAAGATACAAGCAGATTTATTTAGTGTCGTTAATGTTAAAAACAGTTACATTTGCACTGTACAACTATTTTATGACGTCATTCTGGACCCAAGAAACAAGAGCAGCGTTAATATACGTCAATCGCAAAGGCCTGTGAACAAGGACAACGTAATCAGACGGAATACTCTGAGATCTAGAAACAGCGTCAAGCGAAAAGAACAAGGACGGCGTTGATGATCTTCGTAGTTCTAGGAGATCTCTAAACAAGGACAGCGTTTAGCTTCATAGTTCTAGGAGATCTTTAAACAAGGACAGCGGTTAGCTTCGTAGTTCTAGCAGATCTCTAAACAAGGACAGCGTTGATGATCTTCGTAGTTCTAGGAGACCTCTAAACAATGACAGCGTTTAGCTTCGTAGCCCCCGGAGATCTCTAAACACGGACAGCGTTTAGCTCCGTAGTTCTAGGAGATCTCTCAACAAGGACAGCGTTTAGCTTCGTAGTTCTAGGAGATCTCTAAACAAGGACAGCGTTTATCTACGTAACTCTTGAAAAACGTCGGGAATACATCACAGCTTGCTATTAAAAGGTACTGCCTTACTTTAAAATACATTACAGTGTTGATATTAAAAGGGCTGTTTACTCGCCAATCCTTCGAATTAATGTTTTAAAGGACTGTCTTACTTCAGAACACGTCACTGTGTTTACAATACAACAAATATATAGCTTCAGATTCAATCAAGGTTTTATTACTGCATCGACTGTTTTACGCTAGAAGACAGCCTATCGTTGCCACCAAACGTAACGCAAGGTTATATAAAAGGACAGCTTTACTCGATGATACATCATAATGTTGGACTCATACAAGATGATAGCGTTTGAAATCTACGCATTTTTTCTGATTGTCCGGCTCGTTATTGGTTCTAATTCTTTCTATGGATATGCGACTGGTGGTATAACAGGAATGTACCCACAAAATACCGCCGACTTGGTGGTACCAGAGAACATTACCACGTTTGAATGTTTGTTAAAATGTGGAGAAAACAGTAGATGCATGTCCATATTCACTAATAACGGGCAGTGTCATCATTTCAACGGCGGGTTTGTTGATAACACGATGTTGTTACCTAATCCAGGGTGGACGTTTTACAATGTTTATACAGGTAAGATTCCATGATAATTAACTTTTCAATTATTGTTGACATTTTAATGATTGATATATGTTTTTTTAATGTGTTTTTTTTTACATTGTATTCAAATGTTTTCATCAATAACATTTTTTTAATAAATGTTAATCAATGCAAAACGATTTTTATTAAACGTTTTATTGAGATAGATTTTAATATTCTGTTGAAGTTTCCGCCCATTTGACCAAAAATGTTGTGATAAATACTCAAAAAGAAAAATAATGCTATATAAATACATAAAATAAAAAGAGTATAACGATCGAAATTTAAGCGGCATTCAATAATTATTCGACGTAATACATATGTGATTCCTTATAATAAAGCACCCCTAAACCATGTCTTGCCCTAGAGACCTATCCCTTTATCAGAAAATACATTGCCATTGGCTTGAAAATGAGTGTCGTTATGCTGTTTTAATTCCCTCACTTAAATTTGATTTATTTATCTATATTTATTCATATATTGACAATATTGAATATTCTGCAATCATGCTACCTTTTCCCAATTGTAAAGCGTCCGGGGCATTTATAAGATCTTTGTTACGGTATATGATTGGCATACTATTGTATCATTTCCAGTAGTTTAACCTTACATAATGCTTTATTTTGGTAATTGGTAAGTAATTTTGTTCAAAAGTGATATTTAAAAGAATATTAACTTTACCTTGCATCCGACCCGATCACTTTCAAATCATACATAAAAAGTCATTTTTTTTCTGAACAGACTTTTAAAAAAAAAAAAAAAAAAAAAAAAACAGGTAAAGTCCACATTTGACTGAACGTATAATTAAGACAGCGAATCATAGTTTAACCGGATCCTTTATCATGTAACTTATTAGATAAAGTTCACCAAAAAGGAATATACCGGATCCTTTATTTTATTGCTCCCCAGAAAAAGTTCACATTGGATGTATTGAATTCCGTAGGGCGTCTACCCGCATATTTAGTTTAATATAAACACTATGCTGGATCCTATTTTGAATTGCCCCACGAATTGAACTTTCTTTAAACAATTACCCAGAAACTGTATCGTGTCTCCCCGCATATCTAGTTAAGCATAAACAATATACTGAATCCTGCTTTTTGATGCCCCACAAATTGAGCTTACTTTAAACAATAACCCAGAAACGGTATACTGTGTCCCCGCATATCTAGTCTAACATAAATAGTATACTGAACCCTATTTTGAATTGCCGCAAAAATTGAGCTTACTTTTTTAAACAATAACCCAGAAAATATATCGTGTCGCCCCACATATCTAGCTTTACATAAATCATATGAATCTGTATTGTTTTGCCCCGACAAAAACAGTATCTGAGAAACGCTATTGTGTCGCCCCACATGATCTAGTTTACATTTAACAATATAATGGGTCCTGAATTGAGTAGTCCTACAGCTTTATATCATCCTTAACAATACCTCAGAAACTGTTTTGTGTCGCCCCACATATCTAGCTTTACATGATTCATATGAACCTGTATTGTTTTGCCCCGACAAAAACAGTATCTGAGAAACGCTATTGTGTCGCCCCACATGATCTTTTTTACCATAAACAATGTAATGGGTACTGAATTGAGTAGTCCTACAGCTTTATATCATCCTTAACCATACCTCAGAAACTGTTCTGTGTCGCCCCACATATCTAGCTTTACATAATTCATATGAACCTGTATTGTTTTGCCCCGACAAAAACAGTATCTGAGAAACGCTATTGTGTCGACCCACGTACTCTAGTTTACATTTAACAATATAATGGGTACTGAATTGAGTAGTCCTACAGCTTTATATCATCTATAACAATAACCCAGAAAGCGTATCGTGTCGCCCCACATATCTAGCTTTACATAAATCATATGAATCTGTATTGTTTTGCCCCGACAAAAACAGTATCTGAGAAACACTATTGTGTCGCCCCACATGATCTAGTTTAACATAAACAATATAATGGGTCCTGGATTGAGTTGTCCTACAGCTTTATATCATCTTGAACAATACCTCAGAAACTGTTTTGTGTCGCCCCACATGATCTTGTTGACCTACAACAATATACTGAATCATGTAATGTGTCGCCACTAACCAGGTTATTATACTATTTACGATATAATTAGTCTTGTGTTGTGTTGCCTACATATTTAGTTTACCATGAAAAGATACACTGCATATTGTATTGTGTCGACCCACTGATTAAGCTTTCAACCCTTGGGATATTATCGAAATATCAAAAAGAAAAAAATATGGCATTCAAATTGTCGTATAAAACATCTAATTATATGTATTGGAAATATGTACAATAAAAGTACAAATAAATATTGTAAAGAAACATTGACAAGCATTTTTTGATAAATGATCGTTCATATATGGTCCAAAAGTATAAGACTGCCTCAATGTTTACATTTACTAACGTGGCGAAGTGGAAATTGATTAATCCGATTTGAAAGCCCTTCATTAACTGTAAAACGTTTCTTACGATACGATATCTATCAACATTGTTCATAAAGTAAATAAGTGTCATGTCTTGGAATACAAGATTTATTAGATAAAAATGTCGTACAGAACTGAGGTAAAAACATCAACGTTTATATTGAAATATGAACACCCCTAAACCTATCGAAATATTCTCAAACAACACTTCTATTCAATTTAATACAGACACACATAGCAGGGAGACTACCAGATAATGAACATACGATTTGGCCTTTATATCGGTATATTAAATCTCATCTTCCATTTTTTCCCACAAGCACTGTTTGCTCCCTCATCTAACGTTATTTTATTAGTTAATCTTCCCTTTATGACTTCCAATAACAATACTTTGTGACGTCATCTTCTGTTATGACGTCATATGGTAGTTCATGGCATTTTTTCTGCGAGTGTAATCCCAAGAATAGCATATGGGTTTTTTAAATAATATCTGAACGTTGTGGGAGGAAAAGTCACCAAACTCGTGATGGTTAGTTATCATGTTTATCTAGACCTGGTCAGTAAATCTGTAAATGTTTAAGGTCAATCGGTAAATATGTATTAAATTTGAAAATTTCCAAATGATAATTAGATAAAAACTATAGCCAATCATCACTAGTTGAGGACTTCAATGAAACGTAAAATTTCAATATCATGCCTGTTGTTTCATTTGTAAGTCGATTTATATTTTGATCCCCTTTTCCGTTTACATCAATTCTGAGACGTTCATCGATCCCCTCTCCAAACCGCCGTTGCATTGAAACATAATTTGTATGATAGCAGTATATCGAATATTTATGCGTGTCATATTTCACGTTTTTGAAAATATTGCAAAAGATGAGCATGAAAAAACAAAAATCATACTTTTGTATTTTATCAATGTATGCGGAAATTTTGGTTTGTTTTGTCTTGCGTTCACATTGTATTTTATTTTGTCCATGTGTTTTGACTTAATATATGTATATTGTAATATACTGTGGTCAAGTGTGTTGATATTGAGCGTATATTTTCCCCTTCTCTGCGTATGAAAGATAAACATGTTCCATGTGGAACACTGAATTGGGTTCACTTTGTGATCTTTAGTATTATGACGTCACAATCAAATGACTGCACTCTCTTATGACGCCACAATTGAAAACGCGTCTAAACGTCGTTGCCTGGATGTTGCAATTTAGCCGTTGGCAGGTGAACCCATCTCAGGTATATGAGAATGGTTGAATAAGCTTGTCCTGAAGGTATTACCTGAACCCTCATACTATCTACATCTTTTTTTCTTTTTTACCTTTTTATTTTTTCTCTTATCCAAAGCTTAGTTTTTAAAAATCGGTCATTTGTTTGCAAAGAGAAAAAATGTTTGCAAAGAGAAAAAATAAAAATCGGGACGTTGATTTTAAGATTTAAGAAAGGACAAACACAAATCACCAGAAATTAAGTAAACCTTGATCTATTAACAAAAAAAAATCAATTTACTAAACAATGAGAGACCATCTTAACAAAACCTTCAAGACCACTCCAAGTATGTTAGCCAATCGTGACCCTCACCTTCTCATCTTTCCTTAAATAGATACGAAAAACCTTAAGAGAGAAATTGTCCTTTTGATTATTTAAAAACAATATGTTTGCTATTATTCTTTTGAAAATTAAAATCGTAACTATGAGGTATAGAGCGTTTGGCAGCGTTTGAAATTCGGTGTGTCGGTACATATAGATGAAGAATCGACTACCGGGGTCGGGGGTCAAAGGAGTCTGACATCTAAAGAGTTTCTTTACTCCGTACCGGGTGCTGTTTACCTCAGCCTTCAGACAAAAGTATAGCTGGTCCGGGTATCGATTTGTGTAACATATTTGAAGGTGAAATAACATGAATGTGAAAAAGCAATAGGTGAAACACCCTCCGGCACTAGGCACTGTTCCATACTAAAGATCTTCTTTAACTTTCGGTACGTTATTGTAATGTTTTCATTGGAGTCCTGTCTCCCTTTTATGTTACGATATTTACATAGTCAGCTGGTTCTTCAAACAAACAAACGGACGTTTCAAGGAACGGATGCAAGATGATTCCTTTGTATTATCATGGAAGGAAATAGATGACTTCAGTCTTTGATTCGAGTGTCTTACTGAGAGACAGTGTGAAGGTATAACGGTTGTTGTAAGATTTTATTGGTCTTGCGATGAACAATCGATGCCCTTTGATGTAACCTGACAGCCAAACAGCAATGAGCTTATGATATTTATTTTATGATAGTGGCGACACAAGTTATTTAAACTATTACCAATGATTTCCGTTTGTTAAAAAGTCAAGTATCAAAGACACCGGAGGATTTGTTTGTTAAAACGCTTGGGCTTGATGTCCTTTCATAATATTACATTGTACACTTCTACATTGGTCTAGTTCTGTTCTGTTCAACTTACCCCTTAAGTAAACTCTTCCATGCATTGATCTAGATGAGTCCATTATGGTCTAAAGTGATGAAAGGGTTAAAGTAACCTGTATTTCGGACAAGGTGATCTTGCCTGCAATTACAAAAGGTGAAGTGTTGGAGTAGTTCAAGGGCGTGAATCATCTTGTGCTGGTGTCTCCTCAGTCACTCCTGTCTGCCCTTGTCTGTCCGTGACTAGTTTGCAGGTTAATTGTCCCTATGTACGTTGTTGCTATGCTACATGTATATTTATTTGTCTTATTTTGTGTAGATGGCTGCCCGGTGCGAAACGGCTACATACACAACAGACAACACAACTTATGTTACAAGCTTCATCTTGGAGGTACTCGGGACTCGTATGACTTCATGACCACGTGCACTTCAGAAGGCGGAGAATTAATGCGGATTACCTCGCAGGAAATACAGGACCATATCAGTGCTTTCCTAGGTATCTTTTGGAAATAAATTATAATGAACAACATATACATATCATGAACAGAACCCCCAGAACCCCCATCCCACGCCCGCTATTTGTACTTTTTACTCGCATAACGTTAGGTGTTGTGTACAAATGTTGAATAAATATGTGCGATAACATTTGCGCATTGTAAGGAATATCCTGTGTATGTCGAATTAAAATTTATCTTTTTTCATGGTTTGAAGTATGTTGTCATATTTCAAATTGACTAACACGCAAACAGATACAGCGTAAACAAACCAGCGTTACCTGTTGCCAGTTAACCATTAATGATTAGGTGTACCATTTCCACACAAAGCGTAACTGGCACGACAAAGCCAAAGTCAAATAGTGTTTTGATAACTGTCAAATTACCTTTCAACTCTAATTAAAAGCCAATGCCATTAACTTTACTTGAGAGTACAAACCATTATTGACAGTTTTAACAGTCATTGTAATAATGTATAACATTTATTGAAGAATAGAATTCTCTTTATTATCATATGTTTTCTCTTATAATGATTAAATTAAACAAACAAAGAAAATAAACACATTTTTTTTCTTCACGGGAAACGACGACGTCATCGTTTGCTGTTTCCGACGCCTCAATAAGTGTTGTAAATTTGTTAAAATCGCAATATTATATTACACACATTTTTCTTGCATCCAAATTGTCTTGATCATACTCACATGGAGGTGGATGACTTGTGCTATTTACACGGTGCTACTGTTTTTGGACAAAGCAGGTCAATATTCGCTTTATCGGGTCTTTTCAAGTGTAACGTCACAATGCTATCTGTCAAATGCAACTCATTCCTCCCGACAATTCTAATGCGTTCCATCTTGTTCAATAATCACCTTATAAAACAATGAAGGGGTTATATTTCGGTGAATAAGTGGTTATTCATTGTATGACCCTAAAGTTAAGATACTGACCTCGACTTCGCCACGGTTGATATCTCTTCCTCAGATCCATATTTTCCCAGTTAATATCGCTTTTTTCGGGTCTTTTGACCACATATTCACCTGAACAAGCGTCCATAACTAATAAATATGTCATGTGATATAAGTAACCCATATAACTTATACATCTAAGACTGCACGAATTTACATAAATATCATTCCTAGTGGAATACACTATTGAATTTAGAAATTCTCTGCCAAAATGGTTGTTTATACCAATATTTGTATCGCATTGTTATTGCATGCGTAACAACTGTAATCATTTAAACGTGTAGGTATAATGAGAAACCCTACTGGCTCTTCTGTGGGTTAATAACATCGATTTAACTCATTTGCACCTACAGAAACAATTTAACTCTTCCAAATAAGCGGTTGGAATAGCTCATTATGAAACTTCAGGGGTGAATGCGTTAAGTATATTTAAATTTATCAACACGAGCCAGAAATATATAGAAAAAATCAAAAGGAGCATTTAAAGATTTTTCTCTTTCAAACATTGTCTTCACAACAAAAATAACCTTATAGTTTGTCATACTATACCATATACTTCACATGCAGAATCGCTACTCCCTTATATTAAATGTAGACTTGTGCTAATGCCTTCATTTAACTTTGAAGCCTGTTGTCACAGACTCAACTTAATAACTTTTTCTCCACAGCTGATGCGACTTGCCACTTTGTTGTACTAATCCAGGGATCAGATCGTAACAGTGAGGGGACGTTTAAATTTGAGGATGGCACGGTTATGCAGTACTTCGACTGGTATGGCACAGAACCAAACAATCACCTAGGTGATGAAGATTTCATTTTCATCGTACCCGGTCAAGGATTCCGGTGGGGTGACGGAATTGATGTTGCCTCAACGGTTTCTTCTTTCATCTGCCAGATACCAATGACGTAATAGGATAGGTAGAAAACAATTTTCGATGCAAGACGAGACTCTCCTGCTGTGACTAAGGTGATTAAGTTTTCTCGTCTCCATTTAAGGTTTGTTTCGGTTTCACAATATTAATGAATTTAAAAAAGCTACAAAAGATATATAAAGCAAACAAACGGCCCTGAAATTATGACAATGTAATCTTACAATCAGTCCTAACTACAAATGGTAGTCGGCTGATAAAATGATAATTAATTACATTTTTGCCAGTAAAATATCGAATTTTATCACCTTTATAAAAAAATATTTCTTTCATACCATAACAGATATCGCCTTTTAGAATTGTCGAATAAGAACGGTACTTTTCAAATACTTCATTCAAATCAGTAGATTTTCTTTTCATGAAGCGGCGGTGAAATAAGTAGTTGATTGGATCATCTTTGCTATATTTATTTAGAAATGTATTTACCCATACAATTTTAAGCTTAGTCTACCAATTAATAGCAGCAAAAAAAAGTAAAATAGTGTTGAGTAGCATATTGAAAATGGGTTATGACGCTAAAATAAAGCTATATATCCCAAACTGTTTTGATGCGCTAACATTTTTGACGCTGTACGCAGTTTGGAAATGCTATAAACAATTTTCCGCTGAATACCACTTGCACACTTAAAAAATCGGTATTCTGCCACGCTCGTACAATAAAATGGCCATGCTCGTTGCACGACATTGCAGAATATGCCGGTATTCTTTCATACTCGTGAACTATATACACATGTATTCAACAGGAATTTAATAAATATCCTCTATAACTTTACCATATAAGGCATTGCCAATATAGAATCTACCAGATTTAAATGAAATTCAGTTATAAAGTCCATGTTTAACACGTTGACGTCATCCTTATTGTGACGTCATAAATGCAAGGTTGGATACTGTTGACTCTTCAATGATGTTTTATTTTCATTTCATTGAACATGCACCCACAATACATAGAGTGATTATAACAAATGCTTAATTTTGAAAGATAAATCAATTTGAAGATACCAAATATCTAAAAGAAGTAAAAAAGATTGACAAAATAATTTTGAAGACACTTCTAGCGGATTTTTTTTTTATTTCCATCTGGCATTTCATATTGAAAAGCGGTTCGATGTTTTATAATTGACGTTACGTATCATATTAATATAACTGAAGTTACTGATACCATTTCCAATTCAGCCGACAATGCACTGAACATTTTACTCAAACTATTTTTTCGTGCACACTTCCTTATTCAAGATTAAGAAAAAAGCAATTCCCAAACTAGATGTCAACGGTCGCGGTTATCTCATATGTGGATCACATAGTGTGTGACAAGTGTATTGTGGGAGAAAATCTTTTGTTGTCGACGATCACGTGGTTGACCAACTGTATTAACGCCGGAGCACGTTGTATTCGAATGGCGCTAAGCAACATTTTTTTAGTGACAATCAATTCAGAAAATTTGTTAAAAAATGAATATATGCTTTATTTATCTATGTTATCTATTTAATGGTTTTGTTGTTTTGAAAAATTACTAACTTGCATACTATACATGTGTATAAACAATCATGTACTGAACAATCATGTACTCATGTATAATGTCATATATGTTTTGTCATGTCTTGTAAAAAAATGAAAGAAAGAGAAAAAAACACCTTGCATACTACAAATGTACATGTATCAGAAAAAATGGAGTCCTTCCGATTGTAGGATGACATTTTGCAATATCCTAGATTGGCTCCGCCACGTATCTCAATCATCTCGATCTAGGCAAAACGCTGTTTTTCACAAACTTTTCATGATTTAAATGCTATTTATAGTAAACTTGTCTACAAGATTTAGGTAAAAATCTAACGCTATGTCCTATACCGAACAAAAAATATATTCTTGTGATTACAATGAGCAACATTTTTAAATAACTGCATCGGCAAATTTAATTTTCCATAAAACCCATACAAATTATATTAAGTTTACAAGAAATTAAGGTTAAATTACCATATCATAAGGTCTACAGTTATTGTATAGACCGATTGTTATGGCTTGACATATTTATCGTAATGTAATAGATGAATTAGTTGAATTTTTTGTTAAATGCATAAACTGTCACTTAAGAGATAAGTTAAATTTCGTTTGTATAATGCTCATAATATTTCGACTCAGGATAGTGTTGAATAATATCCATTGATTGTATAGTATTGTTTAATAGAGTATGTGTTAGAAACCTGTAAGTTGAATATATTGTTTAGCAATGCTAGTTAATGATAAATTGAATATATTGTTTAGTAATGCTATTTAAAAGTAAGTTGATTAATATTTTTTGCTAGATTATGCTATTTAATGATACGTTGAACTTATGTTTGGATAATATTAGGTGGTGTTTTGTTTTATTTAGTAGTCATATTTAAGGTTTTTGTGAAAATTGTTATTATGTGAGCTTTGAAATGATTTCAACGAATTTATTGCTATAACAGATCTTAAACTATCAAGCTTAACTGAATATTTTTGTCAAAATAACAACAAATGCGATTTAAAATATATATATGATTAGTACAGGAAAGAAACTATAGTTATGATAAAAAATACTATAATTCCAAATTTGATTATGTGCTTTGTTATAGGTTCTGTGATTGGTTAATAGTAGCACATGTGACCCAAAAAACAGCTGTTAATATTAATACGATCAGCTGTTTTTTCCACGGTACTACTTTTAAAGTAAAAGTTTCAATAAAAAATGACAAAATTTACTGTTTACTATTTTTTTATTAGTATTGTTTCTCGGCTCATCTGAAGTATTAGAAGTTTTTTAAATAATTTTAAACTACAGTTGACCATATTCACAGCAGTGACATGTTCTGTCGTTTGACGAACCGATGATATCGATCTGACAAAGCTCAAACTGACAATATTTCGATGTCACATAAGGGTCCGCACAGTGATCAATATAGTGACGATACAAGGAAATAATTTGTATGTTTCCAATATGAGAACACATCATATTTATACATAAAAGTAACATTAATATACATAGATGGATATAGATATTATTTACATACCAGTACCCACTTCATAGACTGATACATGATATACAATTACAGTTTTAATAATTTGGCAAAGTAATGTCGTGATAATACAAGAATTGGCAAAGTAATGTCGTAATAATACAAGAATTGGCAAAGTAATGTCATAATAATACAAGCATTGGCACAGTAATGTCATAATAATACAAGCATTGGCAAAGTAATGTCGTAATAACACAAGCATTGGCAAAGTTATGTGGTAATAATACAAGCATTGTCAAAGTAATGTCATAATAATTCAATCATTGGCAAACTAATGTCTCGATAATACAAACATTGGTATAGGAATGTCGTAATAATACACGCATTGGCAAAGTAATGGCATAATAATACAAGCATGGGCAAAGAAATGTCGGAATAATACAAGAATTGGGAAAGTAATGTCATAATAAAACAAGCATTGGCACAGTACTGTCATAATAATACAAGAATTGACAAAGTAATGTCCTAATAATACAAGAATTGGCAGAGTAATGTCGAAATAATACAAGAATTGGGAAAGTAATGTCATAATAAAACAAGCATTGGCAAAGTTATGTGGTAATAATACAAGCATTGACAAAGTAATGTCATAATCCTACAAGCATTGGCAAAGTTATGTGGTAATAATACAAGCATTGTCAAAGTAATGTCATAATAATACAGGCATTGACAAAGTAATGTCATAATCCTACAAGCATTGGCAAAGAAATGTCGTAATAATACCAGAATTGGCAAAGTAATGACATAATAATACAAGCATGGGCAAAGAAATGTCGGAATAATACAAGAATTGGGAAAGTAATGTCATAATAAAACAAGCATTGACAAAGTAATGTCCTAATAATACAAGAATTGACAAAGTAATGTCATAATAATAAAAGCATTGGCAAAGTAATGACGTAATAAAGCAAGCATTGGCAAAGTTATGTCATAATAATACAATCATTGGCAAAGTAATGTCCTAATAATACAAGAATTGACAAAGTAATGTCCTAATAATACAAGAATTGGCAGAGTAATGTCGAAATAATACAAGCATTGGCACAGTACTGTCATAATAATACAAGAATTGGCAGAGTAATGTCGAAATAATACAAGAATTGGCAAAGTAATGACATAATAATACAAGCATCGGCAAAGTAATGTCATAAGAATACAAGCATTGGCAAAGTAATGACATAATAATACAAGCATTGTCAAAGTAATGTCATAATAAAACAAGCATTGACAAAGTAATGTCCTAATAATACAAGAATTGACAAAGTAATGTCCTAATAATACAAGAATTGGGAAAGTAATGTCATAATAATGCAAGCATTGGCAAAGTAATGTCATAATAATACAAGCATTGGCAAACTAATGTCTCGATAATACAAACATTGGTATAGGAATGTCGTAATAATACAAGCATTGGCAAAGTAATGTCGTAATAAAGCAAGCATTGGCAAAGTTATGTCGTAATAATACAAGCATTGGTATAGGAATGTCGTAATAATACAAGCATTGGTATAGGAATGTCGTAATAATACAAGCATTGGTATAGGAATGTCGTACATTGTAATAATACAAGCATTGGCAAAGTAATGTCATAATAATACAAGCATTGGTATAGGAATATGTTGACTTTCAACACATCGAATAATTGCTAAATGAACCGACGAAATAGGAAATTGCTGGGAATAGTAAAACGTATAGATATGATATAAACAATAAATTCAGCTAATGAAATCAAACCTCCTCAGACAATAGTCTCTCTATCTCTCTCTTTCCCATAAAGGCCAAACAGGAACTCGATTTCATCACATATTTTCAACATTAAAATAATTGTTCAAAACGTTTTGTATTTTTTATATGTTCTTGTACAAACAATCGTATAGCTTCGTTATCCCTCTGATTTAATATATCAGAACCATTCAATATGACATCCAGATCAATAAATATACCATATCTAGATAATTTTCTGAACAAT